CCCTTCCAGTCTCAGAAACCCACTGGAGCAGTTCTGCCCTGTCCCATAGGGCCGCTGAGGCAACGAGTCAGGTGTATCTTGAGTCAGCAGCCTGGCTTTTTCCTACACGACTCACATTGCGCAGTGGCTGCGTGGCGTTTAGGTTTTAAGCAGGACCGCCTTTGTTGTATGCTTTATGCGTTGTGCGCACGTTTTAAACAAGGCTACCTTGAGACGACCTTCATTTTACCATCCACATTTCCTATCACAATGAGATGCAAATTAAGGGGGGGAAACCCAGCAATGCACCGTAGACATAAACAGGTGCTGACAGCGTAGCGAGTCGGGCGTTGGGTTGCTAACAGCAAGGTCAGAGGCTGGAGGTCATCAGCCGCTCCACGGGAGGAGGAGGAGGCGACGCTCCTGTGAAGGAAGATCTGTGTATCATCCCGGGACCTCAGCGGGGCCAGTTCTGCTCTTCCTCCGTGGGCACCCCGAGGCAGGGTCAGTTCAGTGGCAGTGGGTTTGTCTTTCTGGACCAGGGTCATAAATAAAACACATCTCCTGACTAGAGTGCTGAGAATGAATGGTGGTTGAGTGAGAAGCCCCGTGGAGAGAGACGGAGGGGCTGCGCCCTTTGGAAGAAGAAAGGTAGCGTCACCCATCTCTCCCTGTGGGCTTCCATGTTGGGCCGTGAATGTTCCTGAAACACAACCCACCTGCAGAGCTACACTCGGCTCATTCAATGTATGCAGCTTGGTAAATGTCCACGCTGGGCACACACTCCTGTACCTCACACCCAGATCTCAAGACAGGTCACGACCCACCACTCAGAAGCCCAGCCTTTCCCCTGGCCGCCTCAGTCCACTTGGTCTGGGCTTCTGCAGGGAGCAGCTGTGCAGTTTTCCCTGCCAGCTCCCCGCAGCCGTGGACATAGCCCGTGTTCATCCTCACACGGCTGCAATCGTATCCCGCCACACAGGTGGGATTCCACCCCGCTGCCAGACGTCTGGGTTGCTTCCACTTGTGGGCTTTAGCCACTTTGACTCGCTTCTCGTCTAGCTGCTGTTTTATATGACAGTTCCCAGTGCTTTGGGCCTGGAGGCCTGGCTTGTGGCCCGTTGGGCAGCTCTGGAAACCCTTCTTGAGGCTCAAGGTTCTTCCTGCCCATGACACCGTGGACTGCTAATCGCCTCCTGACTAGTTTCCTGTGGGTAAGCCCACGTTTCTGCGTGTCCGCTGCGCTGACCCACTCTCTTTCTCCTCCCTCCCTCTGGTTTAGTCGTCTCTGCATAAGATGAAAGAGTCCAGCCCATTGATGAGTAGAAACATCTCTGACAAAATGCACTTTCGAGCCATTCAGCATGAGTCTTCAGACACCTTTAGCGACCTGTCGCCCACGTTGCCAGGGGAGCCTCCAGAGCACCCCCTTTTGGATGAGCGCAAGCATCCGATGGAGGTGCAGTTCGTGCCCGAAGACGATGTGGAGGCCTTGGGAGCAGCAGCACCCCCTGTACCTGCAGGAGAGGAACACAAGCCCCCCTCTACTGGCACAGCGCAGACCGCAAGCAAGACGGACTCCCCGTCTCGGAAGAAAGGTACAAAGACGGGGCTCACAGAGGACAGCTCCTCTATCGATTCTCAGGGTTCAGTCCTAGGACACTCAGACCCATGGAGGCCTTGGGGATCGAGGAATCAATCTCCTCCTTTTGCAGGGCAGGGCCTGCTGAGGGCCTACTGTGCTCAGGGCCTTCGGGCAGAGGGTCTCCTCCTCCTACTGTGCAGTCGAACCAAGCTCCCTGCCACCACGCCTAGTTCTACAGGGTAGAACCCCTCCTGTGAGATTCCAAGATGCCAACGCTTTCCAGGAGTGGAAAGCCTCATCTTTCTCCCTGCGAGCGGCTGGTGGGCTCGAACTGCTGACCCAGTGGCTAGCAGCTCAATGCATAACCGCAGAACCGCCACACTGCCTTGACCCCTCTCGATCACACTCTGGGGCTGCATTGACAAAGCGACCTTGAGAAAGTGGATGACTACGCTCACCTCGGTCCCCCCGTCACTCTCTAGCCCACTCTCCTGTTTCAGTGTCTCCATGTCACTTGTCACTGTTTCCAGTGGTTCACACGTCTCTGTTGCCTGCTGACCCCCTGTGGGAACACATGCCCATGAAGTCAGGGTGCTTTTCTGTCTGGTGTTTGGTGCAGACCCGTCGCTGTGCCAGGCACGGTGAATGCTAGTTAAGCCACCTGGCCGCAGAGGCTGGGCCTTGTTCCCCGATGTGACCCTTTCGCACCCCCCCCACCCCCCCTACGCCGCAGATAAACGCAGCAGACATCTCGGGTCCGACGGCGTCTACTTGGATGACCTCACAGATATGGACCCCGAAGTGGCGGCTCTGTATTTTCCCAAAAAGTAAGATTTCCTTTTCACCCACCTGCCGTTCCTGTGGCTGGGGCGTTCCTCAGGGGAGTCGGCTTGTTCTCTTTAAACCTCTGATTGGAGCACCAGTCAGAAAGGCTGGGAGGGGCTTCTGCCTTCCTGGGAGAAGCACCCCGTGGGAAGACTGGCTCTCGACGGACACTGTGTACCCTGGGGTGGGGTGGGGGTGCTCACCTCTCTGGGTGCAGCTGCACGGGGCCGGCTTTCCATCTGTAGGACAGGCGCATGGGCCTGGGTGAGCCTGAGCTCTGGGCTGCCGTGGCCCTCGCACCTCTGCAGTGACCCTCACGGTGTGGGCACCCCTCCCCAGGAGAGGTTCTCTGGTGACCCGTGGGGTGTCATCCTCAGCTCCTCCTAAGTACCCCCACCCAACTCCACTCTCACACCGAGACCTGCTCAGAGCAGCGCTGTGGAGGGTTTCTGAGACCGTAATTCCCCATGGGAGCAGGCAGCCTCCTCCTTCCCTAGTAGAGCAGCAAGCGGGTGAGTTTGAACTGCCACCCTCGCAGTTAGCAGCCGGGCACTCACTGCACAGCGCCGGTTGCTTTCTCTTTAGTTGATTTCCCACGGGCTTCGGAGGGGACCCAGTTGTGTCATCAGCTAGAAAGAATTTTCCCTGCGGAGGTGAATTTATTTGGCTTCTCTTTCTCGGTCAGGCAGGCCGTAATTAACGAAACGTCTGCCCTGAGACGAAGCCCTTTGCTGCTCTGTGACAGCAGAGGCCTAGAGAGTTGAGTTGACAATTGAAAATTCTCAGGACAGCCTCTGTCCCCCACCCCCACCCCCACCCCCAGTGGAGACCCTGCTGGCCTCCCCAAACATGCCAGTGACAACGGAGGCCGGTCAGCTAACCAGTCACCGCAGTCCGTGGGCAGCTCGGGCATCGACAGCGGCGTGGAGAGCACCTCAGACGGCGTGAGGGACCTGCCTTCCATCGCCATCTCTCTCTGCGGGGGCCTCACGGACAACAGGGAGATCACCAAAGGTAGCCCACCCCACCCCCACCCGCGGGAGCTGGTTTGTAAGCCAAGAGCACCCTCTTGTGGAAGCTTGTGGGAACTTCCAGAGACCAGTGCCGTTCCTGCCACCAGAGGCTTAGTGTGGAAGGACCATGCTGCTGACCAGCGGACCGCAGCATTCTCTTGATCACATGTGGCCTTAGGTGGCGACACATCCATTGGGTGACTCAGCCCTTCACGGTCAGGCTGCCCGTGTGTGGAGCAGCTTGGTGGTCTCCTGAGCGTCTGCACTCCCGGATCTGAAAACCACAATTCAGTGCCGGGGAGTTGATGCCCACCCAGTGACCCTCTAGGACAGGGTAGAACCGCCCCTGTAGGTTTCCGAGACCGTCACTCTTTACGGGAGTAGTGAGCCTCGTCTTTCTCCCCTTGGAGTGGCTGGTGGTTTCGAACTGGTGACTTGGGAGTTAGCAGCCCAACGGGTCACCACGACGCCAGCAGGTAATGAAAAGACAGCGCTCTGGAAGTGCATGAGAAAGGGGCCCCCAGTTTGCCAGAGGAGGTGTGCAGAGGGCACTCGGGTGGCCTGGGTGATTCTCCTCACCTCGTGTAACGCACAGGTGGAAATAATGCGCACAGAACTCTCAGGAACTGGCGCTCCAGGCCGCTGCAGTTTGGGGAGAAAAGTATCTAGTGCATACGTTGTCTGCTGGAGTGTCCACTGTGTTTGTCAGGATGGTCTTTCTAGGGTCTCCCAACTGTTCCATGGGCATGTGCCCCAGGAACCCAGGAGGTGCAGTCAGCGCTAGATAACTGGTGCACGAACTCCTTGGTTAGACCTAGCTGCCCCGTGTGCCTTCCCCTAACCCTCCGACAGTCTTTTCTCTTACTGGCTCTGCCTGCATTTTGTGGTAGGGATCTGGACGGGCCATGTGTTCATTCCCTCTGCCCCTCACGAGCCCCTATCCCTTTCCCTGCCTCCCCGGGGATGTCCCCGCTGCCTCGTCGGAACTGTGTGTTTCTTCTCACACAACTTCAGTGCCCGCTTGATGCCGGTGCCTGTCCCAGCCTGCCCTCCCTGAGGGTGGGCTCAAATGAGACCATCTGCTGTCTCTCAGGTCCCATTCAGCATCTCCCCAGGGAAGAGGTGGGTACTAATCTGACTCAGGGAGGCAGCCTTCGCCCCAGGCAAGGCATACTGCACGGCCTAATGGGTGAGAGAAGTGGAGTGCAAACAAGGCTTTCGGCCAATGCTCTTCACAGAACTGAGGTTTTGGGGTGTTAGGACCACCGCCCCAGCGTGGGACTCCGAGACCACCTGGCCTGCTGGTGGGAGAGTGCCCCTCACACCTGCCATCGTCTCCTCTGCCTCGGGCTGGTGGGGCTTTTTCTGTGCTTCTGCATACCAGAGGCCCCAGCAGTTACTGATGAATTCTCAGACTCCACTTCCCTGCGCCGTGTACCCTATGCAGCCAGGCAGCGACTCCCATTGTCCGTCCTCCAAACAGGTGCCAGTCAGGGTCATCGCTACTGCCAGCAGGTACGGGGCAGGGCAGGTGCTCTGTGTCCATTACCGGATCAGTCCTCAGACCTCCCAGGGCAAGGGCCATTCCTGCTGTAGCCGAGGGGCCTGAGGCTTGGGAGAGGACTCATGTGACCCCAGCCTGATTCAGTGTTGCTTGAGGCCAGGGGATCCGTCTTCAGAGCTCTACTTAGCTGTCGGCTCGCTCTGCAAATGCGTATATTACTATACAAGGGGTCCTGGAAAAGTTCCCGGAAG